TTTTAAAAGAACAAAAGTCAGCTTAGGTGTGAACCAGTTAGAATTTTCTATACTGCTAATGTGAATGTAAAATGATAAAACCATTTTGGAAAACAATTTAGAAATTTGTTGCATTACTGTTAAGAACGAACAGTCCTGTTCTTAAGTTTTTACTTGAGAGGAATGAAATCACATGTTCACAACAGATTTCTACATACAAGTTGTGTATCCCTTATGTGAAATTCTTGGGACCAGAGTGTTTCAGATTTTGTTTGAAATCCACTTGATCTATCAAAGAGGATAGCTACTCCTGCTTTTTTTTGGGGGTTCCTGTCACATTGAGTATTGTTTTCTACCCTTTAACTTTCAGACTATGCGTTTTTGAATTAAATGTGTTTCTTTTATGCAGCATATTGTTGGATCTTGCTTCTTGACCGATTCTGCCAGTCTACTTCTTTTGATTGGTGAATTAAGACCATTAACACTGATGGTTATAAGTCATACATATTGACTTATCCTTGTCATGACTTTTTCTTTTTGTTGGATTCTCCCCATTTGCGTTTAATTTCTGGTCATGTCCAATGGATTCATTCTGCTGGGCTTCCTGGGGTTGTGATCCTTGTTGTCTTTTCCTAGGGTATTGTTTAAAATTTTTTGGAGTGGCTCTTTGTCATGAAAGTATCTTATTTCCCCATCAATTTTTTTTTCCAGGACTGGGGATTGAACTCCGGTCCTTGTGTTTGCACAGCAGGTGGCGAAACCACAGAGCTAAATCCCCAGCCATCTCCATCAATTTTGAAAGATAGTTTTTCAGGGTACATCGATCTGAGCTGGAGGCTGTTTTCCTTTAGGGCTTGAAATACATCACTCCAAGCTCTTCTTGCCTTGAGGGTTTGCATTGAGAAGTCTGCTGTGTTTCTGATGGGCTTTCCTTTGTATGTGATTTTTTTCTTTTCTCTAACTGCTTGTAGAACTTTGTTCTTCTGTTGGGTTTCTGGAATCTTAACAATTATATGCCTATGTGTAGATTTTTTTTTGATCAAGGCTAGTTGGAGTCCTATATGCCTCACTTATCTGTGTGTCAAGTTCTTTTCCCCTGCTTGGGAAGTTTTCTGCCATCACTTCTGTGAACAGATTTTTTATGTCATCTGCACTCTCTCCTGTTTCTTCATTGACTCCAATCAGTCTTATGTTATTCTTCTTTGCACTGTCTAGCAGCTGTTGGATTGATTTGTCATGATCCCTTACAATTTTAAAGCAATTTTTCTTTTCCTGGTTACTAATTGCAATCTTATCTTGTATATCTGAAATTCTGTCCTCACATTGGCTCATTCTGCTGCATAGACTTTCAATGGAGTTTTTAATCTCCTGGAAATCTGTTTGCATCTGTTTTATGGATTCCACTTGTTTCCTATGTTGGGATTCCATCATGTTCCTCAGCTCCTCTATATTTTTATCTGTATCCTCTCTAGATTTATCAATCATGTCTTGCACTATGGGCACAATCTCTGCTGTTATCTGAGAAATTACTCCTGATTTCATTTTTTCCAGATCCTCTTTTGTTGCCAGTTCAGAGAGTCCAGGTGGTTGAGTATCAGAGTGTTCCATCTCGTTTCCCTTTGGGGTTGGTATAGGTGATCTGTAAGTCTGGTTTTGAGACTTGTTTACGTGTCTTCTCATTTTGACCAGGTGTGGGGGGTGCTGCTGGCACCCACGTGGCTCATCTTCTCTATGCTGGCGGGGGTGGTATGGTGGCCTGGAAGCCTCCTCTTGTGCCCTGGGAGTGGCTTGCCTCCTCTGTGCTGGTGGGGGTCAATTTACTAACTTTTAATATCTTGCCACATTTA